TGTAGGCAATTGTCTCCAAGACTTGCAACTCTCTCTATCACGCCCGGAGAGAGGCAAAGCGAGCGGTATGAAACAGATAGCATTTTTAAAAATACCTACTCGCGCCGCGTATCGGCACTTTAGAAATAGAAATAGAAACTTTTTTATTCAATGTAGATTATAACAATACTTATTGAAAGTCACTTTTTTAATTTACCACTGGTTCGCAAAAAAAACCTCAGTCCTGGGAAGAACCAGCAAGAAACCCAGCGGGACTATTTTTTTTCCAATAATAGCTTACAATCATGTTTACAATTAACAACACAAGACAAATTAGAAATAGCTTGGTAGCGATCACCCTTCCCAGGGGTTATTATCATCCATAAATTCATGATTAAAACTACTTTTACGGATTTTATGGCGTTTATTTTTACTTTTTATTTACTTTTATTTTTAATTCCCGACGTTTCGGGCGCTTTCCAGCACCCATGGTCACGGGGGACTGAGATGACTGACGTCCCGATGTCATTGTTATACCCGGAGTACCTTCAGCTTTTTTAATTATTGTTTATGGTCCGATCTATGCAAAATGAACTGACTATGTCTTGAGGTTTTGCAGTGGTATGCTTGGGTTTAGTTTTAATTTTATTGATTATAGGATCCCAAGCAGGTGGTAGTACCTAGCCTCCTTCTCTATTGAAATTAGGATGTTTTTTAATTTCAATAGCCTCATGTATCATCCTTGGTAGGAATCGGTGTTCTTTCGCGAGGTTTTGTGGTCTATCAAATCTGATGTAATGGTTGGGTCCGTCTAGGATATGATCACAAACTGCAGACTTCCCGGAACGTTGATGCTTCACATCAGCTATATGTACGTAATACGTACGTAAAATAAACGTCGGGAATTAAAAATAAAAGTAATTAAAAGTAAAATAAACGCGATAAAATCCGTAAAAGTAGTTTTAATCAATGTGTAGTGTTCGCGTAAATATAAGAAATCATTATCCATAAATTCCTTAATATTATAATAACCCTATTTATACAAACTTAGTTTAATAACATTTTTGAACTTTGTGTATGATAAATTTTGTATATTTTCTGGGATTTTGTTGTAAAAGCGCCAAGAATGAATTACTGACTCGGTGGAGTCGAGTAACTGGTACTACTAGCTTGTGTCTATTCCTAGAATTTACAGAATGAATATCACTTATTTTCGCAAAACTACTTTTATTTGTGTGTATGTACATTACATTTCATAAATGTATTGAGTGGCCAGAGTTAATATATTAATTTCCATAAATTTTTGTCTCAGTGACTCTTTTGGTTTAAAATTATATATTGCTCTAATGGCCCTCTTCTGTAAAATAAATATAATTTCAGTGTCAGTCGCGTGTCCCCATAGCGAAATACCGTATGACATAATGTTATGGAAATAACTAAAGTAAACTATTCTAGCTGTTTCAACATTGGTAAGAGTTCTAATCTTTTTAGGGCATATGCTGCAGAACTAAGTCTACTAGCTAGTTTTGATATATGAGCCATTGAAGCTTTGCGTTCAGTGTGATACCAAGAAAAATGGTGGTATCAACAAGACTCAGTCCCCCCCCCCATTTAAAATTACATTAGTACTGACATGTTTAACATTAGGAGTTACGAATTTCATACATTTAGTTTTAGTTCCATTCAAATGCAAATTATTAACATTAAACCAATTGACTAACTTAGCTATAGATTATTTACTTCGTCGTAATTTAATAACTGTCGTTTTAATTTGAAAATTAATGAAGTATCATCAGCAAATAATACTATATCATGGTTATCCCCTACTATGTATACACATATATATACAAGAAACAGAAAGGTGCCGAGAATTGAGCCCTGAGGCACGCCCATTTGTACAATCGACCCGGAAGATCTTATACTATTGATGACAACTTTTTGCGTTCTGTCACTTAAATATGAAATAATTAATTTAAGAGCATCGCTTCTTACACCGTAGTGTTGAAGTTTCCTGATTAATGTTTCATGGTGAACACAATCGAAGGCTTTGGATAGGTCACAGAACACACCCAAAGCATCCTGTGAATTCTCCCTGTGAAATGTATATTTAATCAGCTCAACACCAGCAACAGTTGTCGAGCGACCCCTTGTGAAACAAAATAGATTTTTATGAAGTAAATTATTTACATTAAAAAAATTCAACACTTGATCAAGAATAATTTTTTCAAAAATTTTAAAAAAATAAAAACTAAGTGTTGGCAGTATAGAAATAGGTCTAAAATTAGCGGGGTCCAATGTACTACCAGATTTAAATAAAGGTATTACTTTACTATGCTTCCTTAAATCAGGAAACACACCAGATTCGATACTAGTATTAAAAATAATAGATAGTTGAGGTGCGATTATATCTATTATAGACGCAATAACTTTAACGGAAATCCCCCTCAGATCGGCGGTTCTCTTAATATCACAGTCTTAAAATATTTTACAATATCTTTTGATGACACTTTATGAAATGTAAAATTCTTTGTACACACATTTACATTTTGTTTAAGTAATGATTTCGCGACGGCAGGAGAAGAATTCAGTGACTTAGTGGTTAAGATCGAAATATCAGTAAAATATTTCTCAAAAACCATTGCAACATTCTGATCTGATTTAGTTAATTTATTGTTAAAACTTAATTGGTAGTTTGAATTGCGAGAGTTGACCTTACCAGTTTCACTATTAATTATACTCCATGTCATTTTAATTTTATTAGAAGCAGTCTTTATTTTGTTGCTCAAGTACAATGACTTGGCTAATGAGCACACTCTTTTAAATATGTTGGAATATTTTTTTACATATTCCCTAAATTCGACGCTCGAATTATATGACCTTTCATTGTAAAGTTCATATAACCTTTGTCTACTCATATGGACTCCTTGTGTCCTGCGAATACTTTGCGATTGTTCAAGGAGAATGTTTTAGAAGTAAAAGTATTATTAAATTCATTGCAAATGATCTTAAATAATGTTCCTAACAAAAAATTTGGATTATTTTGGTATGAAAGTAATGGAAGTTTTTTTACTATGTTACTTCTAAACTTCTCCAAGCAATGTGCATTTACTGGAACAAATACTACTTTTTTATCTACTTGCTTTTTGTGAACATAAGGTAATGAAATTAATTGTCCACAGTGATCAGAACTCAATTTTTGAATTATACATTTATTGAACGGCTTAACATTTGTAAAAATGTTATCTATACATGTTGCACTAGATTCAGCAATACATGTTGGCTCCAAAAATAAATTAAAAAGACCATAAGATTTAAACAATGAACTAAATTTAATATTGGTGGAGGAAGCTTCTAGGAGATTGATATTAAAGTCTCCACATATTACAACAGTTTTATTCTGTTTATTAAGCTTAGCGAAAACTTCCTCATAATTTTTTCAAAAGTATCATATAAAGAACATGGGGGTCTGTAAACGCTCACAACAATGAGGTGCTCAAACTCAACACAAGCCATTTCTACAATTCGCTCAACAGAGATGCTCACAATATCTTTACATTCTTTACATGATAATAATTTACTAGCTAGAATTTAGGAGCCACCTCTTAAAACCTTTTCTATGTTGAAAGAACCGGCCACTTGGTGATTGCTGAAGTTAAACATTAAGTTACAAGCTTTTAACCAGTGTTCAGTTATACATAATATATGAATATTTTTGCTATTTAAGAGCAATTCAATTTCTAGCTCTTTGCCTATCATGCCTGTATGCTGTATATTCTGATGCACCAGGTGTAAACAATTTTTATTATCATTTTGTGGAGTTATACAACTGCAACTATTAAGGATTTGTAAGCTACATTCTAAATTATTTAAATTATTATAACTGCTAGATATTACCTCTATTGTCTCATTTTCTAATTTAAATTACTTGGAACGGATTCCAAATTGCATGTCAATTCATTATGCTGCTCAATAGGAGCAGATGTCTGGGTAGCCAAGTCCTTGACTGAGTTAATATATAAATAATAAGATAGCACATTTGCTATCTGTCTTAAATTGTATTTGGATAGGTAATACCTATCTGTAGTCAAAAATTTCTTAATTAAATTATTAATATCTATTAAATTAATTTTATTGGTATAATTGTTACAATTAAATGTCAAATTTAAATTATTGTTACATGATAAATTATTCATTAATAAATTTAAATCATGCCTTATTTTATTCTCCTGTGGCCAACCCTGTATAAAAGGCAATGTAAACTAGATAATTTTATGTACATGTAAAATATTGAGGTACTCAATATATTTTAATAATTGATTTTTGTTTACATTGCCTCTTCTCCCAACAAGAATTATTTATGTGCTATTAGAGCAAAACTTACTAGTTAAAACTTTATTCATTATATGACTAAAGGATGCTCCAGGCATACAATAATTACTAATCAATTGTCCTTTTAAATGGTTATTTAACATCATGCCCAAATTTTTACCTATGTCATCACAATACATAATAACTTTATGTCTTTTAATATTTAAACTACAACCTCTTTACAATCTTTACAATCCTCTTAAGGAAAATAGTTTATGGAATATTTTTGTCAAGGAAATTTATAAGTTAATTTTTTAGCTTAGGAATAAGTTTATGTAAATAATACCACATATTATTCTCTCTATCTGCTGCATCCATTATAGCCTATCAAAAGTCCATTTCTGAATAGAACTCCTCCATAGATTGCCCCAATATTTGCCATTGTTGACATGTTTCGCAGACGGGTTGGTAACCATAGGTTTTTGTTACTTTGAGCTGTTATCCGGAAAATTCTGCTGGTAATGTTTGACCCATTTGTGTCCTAACATCTTATGATTCAGAAGCACATGCTTCTACACAGTTCACCAACATGTTCATTGGACAAGGGGGTTGGTTTGCACCTTGCACTGGTAGAGTTGCCTTCGTTTACAGTTTAAGGGATTTAGCGTTTATGACTTGGCAGAGTTACTACATTAATTGGTGAATATTTTTAGATAATTGGAGTGGTGAGCTAGAACGCTGGTGTCCGTCACTTCGCGTTAGCAAATACTATGGACATCCTGAGGAGAGACGACAGCTGCGAGTAGAGTATGCACGAGGATTAGACTCCATTGATGTCGTCCTTACTACGTGAGTTGGTTCCTTGTAATTAATTATTTTCTTATCTTGTAAAGAATATTATGAATTGATATTGCTGAATAAACAAATATTTAACGTTTGCTTTGGTTGTACAATTTTTTTTCTTTCTTAGTTACACAATGGTGAGCAGTTGCCCAGAAGAACGTAAGATGTTCCGCATAACACCAATGCACTATGTTATTTACGACGAAGCGCATATGCTGAAGAATATGTCTACCCAACGATATGATAACTTACTGAAAATTAAGGTATCGACTTGTTTAATTTTTTATGTACACATTCATCATGTAAGACAGGGTGACGTAATATCCCCAAAACTCTTCACCAGTGCATTGGAAGACATTTTCAAGCTACTGGACTGGAAACAATACGGTTTTAACGTCAATAGCGAGTACATCCCTCACCTTCGATATGCCGACGATATAGTCTTTTTGGCAGAATCGCTGGTGGACCTAAGCATTATGCTCAATGACGTCAATACACAACGAAATGATATCGTGACAAAACGAAAGTCATGTGTAATGTCCATGTCACACCTATGCCGGTGGTAGTTGGGAGCACTAAGCTCGAAGTTGTTGACGAGTATGTTTACCTGGGACAAGTAGTCCAACTAGGTAAGTCCAACTTCGATCGAGAGGTCAATCGACAGATTCAACTCGGCCGGGCAGCGTTCGGGTGATTGCGACACATCTTCTCGTCAGGAATACCTCAAAATCTCAAAACTAGATTGTACAATCAGTGCATGTTGCCATTGATGACCTATGGAACTGAGACGTGGTCTTACACTGTCGGCCGTTTGAGGAAGCTCTAAGTTTATATTCAGAAAGCTATGCTCGGAGTTTCTCTGCGTGATAAACTTAGAAATGAGGATATTCGCAGTAGAACCAGAGTAACCGACGTAGCCCAATGCATTAGTCAACTGAAGTGGCAATGGGCGGGCCATAGATCTCGCAGAACCGATAACCGATAGGGAAAAAAGGTTCTCGAGTGGCAGCCTGGTACCGACAGACATGATAATCTGGTAAGACATCCTGGTAGTCGATGGATGGCAGGTGGCTCAGGACCAATGCTTTGTGGCATTCCTTGGCGGCAGCCTATGTTCAGCAGTAAACTTGAAAAGGGAATTTATAATAATGATGATGAAAATAAAAAACATTTACAAATACGACTTTTTGTATGCATATTTTGCGCTTTTTAGGTTGCATATATCCTCCAGACCCAATTTCGGCCACGACGACCTCTACGGAGGCTAGCCTAAACGTATAGGCACGGGACAGGATTACATATAGTGCCCAAGTGTATGTGCAAGCACAGGTGCACTCTCTATTCCGTCACTCTCATAATCCGATGGGACGGTAAACCGACGCAACCGGAGAGAGATCAGGCGCAGGACCAACGGCTTTACGTGCTTTCCGAGGCACGGGGGTGAGACACCGCCAACTTTCTGATTCCGGGCAACTACTGAGAAATTCTTGACGGAAAAACTTAATAATTAATTTTTTGGCTCGACCTGGGATTCGAACCTAGGAGCTCATGATCAGCGGTCGCACTACTACAACCACATTTTTTGCATATAATCCGGTTTTTAATAATAACCCTTACTAAACAATATTTGCTTAATAAATATTTTAATTCTTTTGATAGATAGGGTCTGCACAATTTCTCATTCTTCAGTCTCATTAAGGAATCCCCATGAAGGAATTTCTGAATTTTTAGAGCTGAGTAACTGGCATAACTAACTTGTGCTTGTCCCTAGTATTTACAGAATTACTTACTTACTTATCTTCACGCACAATCCCTAACGGGGTGGCCAGAGAGAACAGATCGCCAAGTGTCACGATCCTTACATACCTCTTTCGCTTCTTTCAGGTTCATTAACTTCTTCATACATGCACGTCTAGGTATCCGAGTACTCTTGACCCTCCCCTCTTCGAGCAATTTGCTCACATGGTCTTCGAAAGTTAGTCTCGGTCTACCTCGACACCTTTTAATATTTACTTTCGCTCTATATATTTTCTTCACCATTCAGTCTTCACTCATTCGTTCAACGTGCCCAAACCATTGGAGTACGCCCCTATCAATTTTTGTGATAAGGTCATCTTTCAATCCTGCCATATTGCGAATCTCTTCGTTTCGCTTTCGGTCGGCTAAGGTAACGCCACACATTTTACGAAGAGATCGCGTCTCCACTGCATTCAACTTGCTTTTATGCTTCTTCTGTCATACCCAGGTTTCGCTGCCATACAACAAAGTCGGTACCAACACTGCATTATGTATTGCAAGGCGTGCACTCTTCACCACGCCTTGCCTTTTTACTAATGCATTCAGGGCACCATTGACTTTGTTTCCGGCAGCGACACGCCTGTCCACATCTAAATCACATCTTCCATCCCGGCTGAAAGCACTCCCCAAGTATACAATTTCATTTACCTGTTCTAGACATTCCTGATTTACCCATATTTCACATTTCGTTCTCTCTTCGTCCTTTTCAAATACCAGAACCTTAGTTTTATTAGCATTCAAACGGAGACCTTTAATTTTACATTCCTCTTTCATACACGTGACTAATACCTGCAGTTCTGCTTCTGATGGTGCAATAAGCACTGCATCATCAGCATACAGCAGACAATTAACTTTTATGTCACCCACTTTCACACCCAAACAGCTATTTTTCAGCTTCTGTAAACAGCTGTCGAGATACAGTATGAACAGCCAGGAAGACATAACAGAACCCTGTTTTACGCCCGCTTGGACGCTAAACATGGGTGACAGGTCATGCCCTACCCGCACACAGGCTTTACAGTCATAGTAAAGTGACTGCACAGCCCTTAACAATCGACCATCCACACCATATCCCGGCAACAGTTCCCACATTTTCTTCCTTATAACCTTATCAAATGCTTTCTCCAGATCCACAAAAGCACAGAAAATCTTCTGGTTAACACTCAGAAGCTTCTCCGTGATCATGCGGAGAGAAAACATTTGATCCGTGCATCCTCTTCCAGGTCTAAATCCGCATTGTGCCTCCCATAAGAATCTTTCCGATTTCTCTTGCATCCTACGTGTCAAAACCTTCGAGTAAACTTTACTTGCTAAACTGGTCAAGTTGATCGCCCGATAGCACCCGCAGTCAAAATGTGAACCTTTACCTTTATATAAAGGCACAATGACCGCGGATCGCCAATCATCCGGGACATCTCCCGTCCGCCAGCACAAATTGCACAGCAGATGGAAGCTGTCCCAGACGCGAGGCCCACCGTACTTGACCATTTCAGCAGTAACTCTGTCTAGTCCCGCAGCCTTACCACATTTCTAACTTCGAATCGCACGTTCAATCTCTTTCATGCTGATGACCTCAGTGTCATCGAGGTCCGTGTCTGGCGTGCCAGTCACGGCGTCCACCACCAGTATTTACAGAATTCACATCATTATTTTTAATAAAACTATTTTTGTTTTTCTGTACATACATTAATTTTCGTAAATATATTGAGAAGGGAAAGGAGACCTTGCCTTTAGGACGAAATAGGTTTCTTTTAATACTTATATGTTGCTGCTGCACATCTTCCGTATTACTGTCTTCTGTCGCTCTTACGACCCCTACGGAACGATATGGGGTAGTGGATATTATATACCGCCAGTACATGAACCTGTTACTTACATAATAATTTGATTCCAGTCCAAACACAGATTGCTGCTGACAGGGACGCCGTTACAAAACAATCTTTTGGAGCTTATGTCACTACTCTGTTTCGTGATGCCCCATATGTTCTCAGGAAAGACTGATGATCTCAAGAGTTTGTTCCAGAAAAATTCGGTAAGTAACTATTTAAAGAATGTAACACAATTGTTAAAAAAATGTTTCTTGAGCCCATTTAATCAATTTACTGAGCTATTTATACCTATACATACAAAAACTTGGTAAACTTAGAACTAAATTGAATACTGATATAATTTGCGTTTCAGATGTTGTTCGTTTTTGAATTATGGCGTTGCTACATACAAAGCTAAGTAGCAATTTGGGAAAGTTTATGCTCCATTCGCTGCTTTGGATTTATATTATATTTTATCTATCCTAGTGTCTGAAGTCACATCATATTATGTTTCTTTTCCATAAAAGTATGGCGCTGAGGGCTGCGGGCTCGAATCCCGCACGGAACCAGTATTTGTATAGGTTACAAGCTTAATTGTTCCTAGTCTGGATGTTTGTCCAGTAAAGTAAAAAAAGTAAAGTTACAGCCTATACACGTTCCACTGCTGGGCACAGGCCTCCTCTCATTTCTGAGAGGGTTTTAGGGCAAGGAAATGTCCGCCGCGCTGCCCCAGTGCGTGTTGGCGAACTTCACATGTCTTCGAAATATTTTTTTTCTTATTTCTCAGACATGCAGGTTTCCTCACGATGTTTTGCTTCACCGGGAGCACATGGTAAATCAGTACTTAAAATTGCAATTAACAATTTCATTGGTGCCGAAGGGGATCGAACCCGATTTGCTCGCGTATTGCGAAATTTACAGCGAGCGCTAACAGTTTATCCAGTATTTTAGTTTATTCTAAAATTAAAATTTTCATTTGTCTGAGGATAATGTTCAGAGTGGCTCAACTGATTGTAATAAAACGTGAACAAACTGTAACACCAGCAGTGATCTACACTAAATTCTATCCGATTTTTTTAAAATTTTAATTAAATAGACATACTGATGGGTAAAAATAAATGGTCTTTAATAATTATCTAAAGCCAAATAATGCCACTTTAATAAATCCCACCCAGAAAAAGCCAGAGTGGACAGCTAGTTATAAATGTTATTTTAAAATTAATATAGCTACTTGGGTATACAATTTTTTCACATACTTTCCCATTAATAGAAAATTTTCAATTAACCAAATAATATAACGATATTTAGTTAATAGCGGGTTTTCGCTATTGGTACTGTCCATGTTAATGGTATGGGCTCTCAATGGTTAGGATAGTCTTAGAGGCATGGGGGCAGTCTGAACCCAATCAGCCCTGATAAAAATAATAATTTGTGCTTTCCGCAATATTGGCTCCAATAGGGTTTCTAAACAAAGACCTAGACATAGAAGCCGGGTACTTAACCACTGGGCAAGCCCATGAAGTTACTAACAATTGTATGTTTTTCTTTTTTTTTTTTCAGAAAGTAAAAGCAACAAAGAAAACTAACGGCACTAACGATAGTGTGGAAGATGAAGTACCAGCATTTGAACAAAGTCAGATAACACAAGCAAAGAGGATCATGAAGCCCTTCGTACTACGGAGGCTAAAGCGGGATGTCCTTCAAGACTTACCCAAGAAAACTAATCACACAGAACTCTGCTCTATGTCGGAGCGACAGCAGAACTTATATAAAAACTTAATTGCAGGCTTCTCTGCTAAAGATGGGACGGTAATTATTTAATCGTATTAAAATTAAACAGTTTTAAGATTTTGGATGCTGTGTGATGAAATAGTAACTGAGTAGAGATTCAAATCAAATTATTTATTTCGCTAAAAACATGGGTACTGACGGATGGATACAGAGTCAATATTTGTTTCCACATGTTTTGTCTTTCGTAGAATGCGAAAATATTGTTTAAGGGGACTACAGGAGCTAAATGCAAGTTTTATAATGCGTCAAAGTATATGATACACTGCAGTAAACAAAACCAGAAAAATATATGATATTTTTCTTGATATATGCTAGTTAACTGTTGTGTTGAAAACATGATACTACTAATTTGATATGATAGAAAAAATCACAAAGATATCTAAAAATTTCTTTTAAAGAGTAAAAACTATACTAATATACATGCAATCATTCTGATTTTTTGTCAGATTATTATACAAGCTACATATTAACTTATTGTTGTTTTAATTTTTTAGTCCAGTTAATTGTTTTTATTCTAAATCGTATATTCTTATTTGTGAAATAATACGTACGGATGTGTGCGTGTACAGACATTGCGGCCGAAGCCCTGATGGTAGTGTGTCGCTCTTTTTGCTGCAGTATTTACGTAAAGATTGTGATTCATTGTTTCATAAATATTTTTCTTTCTATAAATATTCTTTTTTCGTAGAAATGTCGATTTAAAATATTTAAAGTTAAAATAGCGTAGTAAGGAACCTTGTTAATAATTATCATTTGTAAATATGGGAAAAAGTGGAACCTGTCACGAAGAGTAAAAAACATTCATATAAATCAAACGCCCGACATATGAACGATATTAAAAGCTTTTACTTATTACTATAACATTTAATTATTACTATATAAATCTATGAATTTTAGCAACATTTTAACAATTTTAGCAGTATGGATTTGCAGTTTGTATTCGAAAGTACCCGGGTTCGATTCCAGGAATATGAACTCAAATTTTTAATTACTAGGCATGTCAATCTGCTTGTGAAATTAGGCGATTAGGGCAAATCCGCCCATCTTTAGGCGCAGATCCATGTCCTGCTTGGACTTGAATCTCCCCCTAAAGTTCTATTAAACACATTTCAGATACACGCCACCACAGAACAGAGCGGTATATCCATGATGATGGACATGCGTAAACTGGCAAATCATCCACTACTACTGCGGTACCATTATGATGAGGCCACAGTCAAGAAGATAGCCTCGCAGCTAGTAAAGGAATCTGGTTACAAGGAGAAAAATGAACAGTACGCGTTTGAGGACCTTTTGTGCTTGTCTGATTTCCAGATACATAAGCTAACGTTAGAGTATCCTGTAAGTAATTTTTTATAATTATTATTATTTAGCAGGCCAAGGCAAAAATCCTTGGTTTTAAATTTGTAAGTTCTATTTTAGTTTTTCAATATATTCAATCTATTCTTAAATTGGTTTATTGTTTGGCTAAACAAGTGCTTGTATGGGTTATTATGTTACACGGCTTTAGTCGATTTGAGGAAATGCTCCCTAAGATGTGTGTTGTTGGAGTATTGGAATAATATTTTGTCGAAAATTTTGATATCATAGTGTCCATGTATAATTTTATATGTTTCAATCAGGTCTCCTTGTTCTCTGTGATCTTTCAGTTGTTAATCATAGTTTAAAGTGTTTTTAGTCTTTCCCCATACGGCTATAAAAGTATATAACATTTAGAATGTAAACTTTTAATAGAATAATAATTATGCATTTTACATCATGTGAGACTACTGTTAACTTCGTAACGAAACAGTAATTCAGGTTTAATATTCACCTGCAGAGTATAAGGTCGTATTCCTTGCCTGATAACTTGATACTGGACTCAGGCAAGTTCCAAAAGCTGGATGAGATGCTGCCGCGTCTGCAGGCGGATGGGCATCGAGTGTTGGTGTTCAGCCAGTTCACCATGATGCTGGACATCCTCGAGCCCTATCTCGCGATACGTCGCTACCGCTTCCTGCGTCTAGACGGTAGCACCGCTGTGACAGACAGGTACTGCATACATAACGTACTTCTTAAAATAATTGGATTAATTTTTATACATAATATTTTACATTGATCATAGGTCAATTAAAATGGGCTGGTTTCGGCAACTTCTAATCAAAGGATTTTCGAAAGGTTCAAGTTCCGAATCTATGATTAGCGTTCATCATAGATTATTGTTAGTAAATTCGGAAATCAACAATAAAGTGCACAAAGTACATGCAATAATATTTATTGTGAGCACTTACAAGATAATGATTACAATAAATAACAAATACCAATGTATCAGTAAGTTGAAATGGTAATGGTATGAAGGATTGTAATGAATAGAATAGAATATTTTTCTATTCAATATAAATCACATGTAATTCTAATTGAAAGTAATTTTTTACCTTACCAGTGGTTCGTAAAATAAACCTCTGTCCTTGGAAAAACCCGCAGAAACTCGGCGGGACTATTTAAAAAAATTAACTATATGAATGGTTACAAACCATTCATATAGTTAATTTGGAAACAAACTCATTACCAGGGGTTATTATCAACCATGTATTCATTAATATTATAATAAGCCTTTTTATATAGTTTTTATTTAATTAAATATTTTAACTTGGCAATAGATAGACTTTGTATATTTTTTGGGACTTGGTTGTAATACCGTATACATTGCCCAAAAAATGAATTACTGACTCTGTGGAGTCGAGAAACTTTGACAGAGTGTATATCACTTTCTTTACTAAAACTTGTTTTTGTAAACATACTAAAATATATATTCATTTTCATAAATATACTGAGAGGCTAAAGTTAATATATTTATTTCTTTATATTTTTTCTAAGAGAATCTCTTGGTTTTAGATTGTAAATAGCTCTTATGGCTCTCTTCTGCAAAACAAAAGTAGTTTCATCATCAATGATGATGATGATGATGGAATGAAGGATTGTAATGAAGATGATGGATGTTGATGTTGATTAGAAACAACTTTGAACTCACTTCTTGGCTTATTTCACATAAGCAAATAAAATTATTCATAATTAATAGTACCCGGTTGACCGAGCTTTGCTCGGTATTTTTCGCTCGGTTTTTTTTAATTCGTGTGTTTTGGAAATTATATTTAGATACAAATTACATACTGATGAAATACGAATAATATTTTTGGATCTTAACGACATAATAGAAAAAACTGAACTGGTTATTTGAATAAAAAATCATGAGTGCAATTAGTTTAATTTAAATTTTCGTGTTTTTAAAAAAAATAATAAAAAAAGGGCAAAAAAAAAATAGATTTTCTCAAAAAAAGAAAGGAACTTGAAAAAAAAAAATTAAAAAGTCAGGCGGTCGGTCTGGGCTCGAACCATGGTATTACGATTTTGTGACCGCCCAATATGCCAATTAAGCTATTTGTAATCATTAATAAACTGTCAAAATTTACCTTCTTATTCTAACGATATTGTAGCAGTTTTTCATTGCCTAAAAACACGGACAAAAAGACATTTTCTAAAAATAAATCCTAGCTAAATCGATTTATTGCCCCCGAAACTCCCTGCACACAAAATTTTATGAAAATCGTTGGAGCCGTTTCCGAGATTCCGATTATTCTTGTATATATATGAGAATTGCTCGTTTAAAGGTATAGGATATTAATTTATACATAATATGTACTTTATGCTTTGCAGGCAAGATTTGATAGACCAATACAACACAGAAGATATATTTGTGTTCCTACTGTCCACTCGCGCCGGAGGGCTGGGTATTAACCTCACGGCTGCCGATACAGTAATTATACATGACATTGACTTCAACCCGTATAATGACAAACAGGCGGAGGATAGGTAAGTTACAAAAAGATTATAAGGAGGTGGATAACATCTGTATAATTTATTATATATGTATTATATTTATTAGTAGTATATATAGGATTATTTTTCAAAGAGCAGCCAAATTTTAAACTTAAGTTCAAATATACGAATAATTATATACCCTTATTGCAGTTTTTGCAAATACGAGTAAATAAAGTTTTTTATTTCAAAATATCTAAATAATAATAGGCAAAAATGTTAAAAACACAAATCTATTTTATGCCTACCAATCGACCCTTATGAATATGTGCATGCACAGTAAAATCAGTTAAAATAATGCATTACTACCCATTTTGAATATAAAAGATAAAACGACAGTATGGACACTGTGTTACTCATTTTACTTACTCTGAACCTTCTCTGAAAATTTGGCCGATTATTGCAAAATAACCCTGTATATTCATATAGTATATTTATTAGTCTATATATTTTTGTATAATATAATATATAATAAGGCTACAATTGAAAAAAATCCCATCACATGTTAAGTGGTGATAAAGTTTATACAGAGCCAGCCTTAGCCACTTGGGCGCCCCTGTGGGGAAGATTTACGCTCTCCTGATGATGTCATCGTCGCCAGCCCGTGATAGTCCGATGCTAAACAAATTCAAATTCTTTATTTGCAACTAAATAGGTACAAAGTGTTTTGTTCTTGCTGTTATTACTGTTATTGTGATAAGAAAACCTATTTAGCTGTGTTCAACAGCATACATATATACAAAAGTTTTTATAAAAACCCACGCTGATCTTCAACAAAGCACAGTGCCAACAACTGACTTGCAAGATGCTTATCCAGTTGTTAGTGTTGAAGAAAGTCTTGCTAATCCGTGGTCCGAGGACAATGTACATTAAATATGTTCATGTACTAGTACAATATTAAATATGTTTATGTGCTAGTACAATATATGTTTTTCGCATGATTACACCATTCCTTTAATATTATTTTTATGCCAGTCAAAAACAACCTGCAATCTTTCTGTTTAGTCATTTTTATCATGGTCCTTAATTTCGGAATAAAACTAGATTATACTTTATAGGTACTAAAATATACACGTGATTTTGGTAGGGTGTGTGGGGGGGGGTAGTCTTAAACATCACCACGTGTCACCAAGAGGGAGGGGAGGGGGGTTAATGGACGGCCTCTTATGGACATGGCCCACACTTAGCAGGTGGATGGATGATCCATACTACCAGCCATCTCCTTTATACTGTGATCTGGATATTTTATTTAAATGTAAATGTATGCCTTGTTTAAATGAGTGAGTTATAATAACAATGTCCTCCAGACCGAATTTCAGCCACGGCGGCCTGCCTCAACGGAGGCAACAGGATTATAGTGCCCAAGTGTATGTGCAAGCACAGGTGCCCTCTCTATTCCCTCACTCTCATAATCCGATGAGACGGTAAACGGACACGACCGGAGAGAAATCAGGCGCAGGACCAACGGCTTTACGTGCTTTCCGAGGCACGGGGGTGAGACACCTCCAACTTCCTGACTCCAGGCAACTACTGAGGATTTCTTGACGTAAAAACTCAATAATTAATTTTTTGGCCCGACCCAGGATTCGAACCCAGGAGCTCATGATCAGCAGTTGCACTACTACAACCACAAGACCAACGAGGCAGTCAGTCATATAGAGAGTTATAGTCACATCTATCGCAAACTGTTTTCATAGGCGCCACTGCACGGCATAAACCAGTGCTTGACTTCAAACCCATCCCAGATAGTAATTAATGTAGCCCTAGTTTGTAAACACTGCAGTGACATTCTAGTTGATCGTTTGGCCACCTGGGACACTGTCAAGGTTCGATCTACTCGCTAAAGTTGCCGCTGTGTATACATAATATAACATTGTTATGTATGTGTTGTACTTTTATTTATACACTGACATATTTAAGTAAAAGTTGACTTCAGACTGTTTGATTAGGAACAGTTTTGGGTCTTGACAAACAAGGCCTTTATGGAAGGTTTTACACCTGATATATCATAATAATGATGTAGCCTTTTATTATTGTCATTATTGTATGTTGGTCTTACAGATGTCACAGAATGGGTCAAACAAGACCAGTAACAATATACCGGTTACTAAGTTCTGGAACAATAGAAGAGGGTATTTACCAGGTGGCACAGGAAAAACTTAATTTGGAAAAACATGTCACTGGCGCCGATGGTATGTACAAACTATATTAGTATATTTATTACTAAGATTTTTATTCACATCTTCAATGTAGGTACTAAGTCAGTATAGCTCAGATTCCACATTTCTCATAGAACTGATCACTGTTGTGGAAAAAGGTTCTTGAGTGGTATTTCCAACTGACAAACAGTGCTTTTTCTTGTTGTGTAATGTTGAAAATGTAGCCATGGTCAATAATGAAACCTTTGAAAATTTAATGAATATTATATCTATGTGAATTGAAGTAGCACTTTGCTGCCAGTCATATAGCTCGAAGAACAGCTCCATGTTAGCAAATGCAGTGTTGGGCGAACCTCCACTAGATGGAGTGCCGACCTAAGAAACAAGCAAGTAGTCAATGAGTGCAGATGGCTCAGGACCATACTTTGTGACAATCTATGGGAACCTATATTCAGCTGTGGACTTGTGATAGGCTGTAATGATGATGGTGATAACCTTGTTTATAATACATGTTTTTTTTTTAGAAAATGAGGCGACAGAACAGAAGAATGTAGTGAGGCTTCTGTCAGCGGCGCTTGGGCTCACTTCCCCCAACAAATGATTGTTGGCCAAGGATCCTGATGTTGTTATCATTGACACAGATGTTATTGTAATTGACTAGTGTTGTTTGTGAGAAGTTTTTGCCCAAATGTGACTTGAAATTGAAGACCAATAGTATGTATATATTATGTGATCTGTAACATTTGTGATGTGACCTTTCGGAAAGAAAACAGTGTCCTTTGAGTGATAGCTTATGAAGTGTTGATAAATTAATTTGTGGGAGTGTACAAAATAGTTTCCTCTGGATCCAACTCACTCATGAATTATTGTGATGCTTAATATGTAATCTACTGTGTATAAAAATTCATCTATTTTGCAAAAGGTAATGTTTTCTGATTGTACTTCGAGAGTTTGTTTCTCAAGATTTCTAGGACTTATATTTCAATATGACTGTATAAGATACTGTATTTTATAGTGCAGCAGTCTATATGTCACTGTAAATCATCAAATGTAACTAAATTGGAGCATTTTGTTACCACTGCCACATAATATTGCTTAATCTCTATAAAAAAATTAATCGCTCTCCGTTAGTTTTGCTCAAACAGGAAAACGGTTTGAGTGGGTCCCTGGATAGTTCAAATTCACATATGGACCTTAAAGTTAGCACTGTTGTTGAGATCCAGAAATCACCCATGTGAAGCCAGGGAAGATCGCTAGTAGTTTATAAACATAATTCACATAATATGCAGTACATGTAGTCTACAATAAATTTGCTAATAAATTCTAAAAAGTAAAAAATTAGTGTGAGTGTAAATCGTTCTGCCCTCACTATATATGAATATAAACTTTTCATTTGGGTTCTTTTAAAAATTTTGTACATTTTGGATTCTTAAAAAAAACATCACAATTGGTTTTTAACAAAAATTTTGTCAGGTATCCATTGTCCAATAAAGTGTAGAATTTGAATGAAATTGGATTGAAGACAAAATCATAATTTCATTTCAAGATATGCAAGAATAAAAATATTTACTAACTTCTAAAGGAACAAACACATACGAATTTCAATTAAAAACAGTAGAATTTGATCTTTTGAAATGAATCTTTGAAATATCAGAAACTTTCAAATGGGAGGTTAATAAAGCTATGGAATACAGTTACTTTATAACTTTAGCAATATAATTTAACCAATTACCTTAATTTCGTGCAATATAGAGAATTCGCTTGTGGACAGGGGGCAAAAATATTACCAGTGGTCTTGATTTCCTAAAGGATAAAATATAAATTGGCTGTTTTTAAAGCACTTTGTTAATATTATTATTTGCAAAGACAAAATAACTGACACGAAAAAATCCATTAGTGTTTGAGGACTATTTTGATTCAAACTGTTTTCACACACACTATTTGACGTCAGTTTTGATAAATTAACATTAAGACTGTTGTAGCCTTGATTTTATTTTATTTGCCTAAATTGTACAAAATATTAAATAAAGATGTATTTGTCTGTAAATTGAATTAAAAAAAAATTAGAAGCTTTATTTTTTAATTAAAAAAATATGGTGAAAATCTGTACAGTAGTAATAAAATAACACTTTTAGAAATATATCAAACATGTATAAATTCTACATATTTATTATATATATTTAACAATCCAAATACAACAGGTGGTCTTGTTTCAACTTAAACCTGTGACCAATTATTATTAACTGCTTTTTGTGAGCCTTATATATTTAAGTGTTATAACTCATAACAAATGATAGAGAGACAGAAAAATGGCGGTTTTATATTAACTGGTATTTTAGTGATTAAATTAATGTCAGTTAAAGTCCGGACGCCGAGCACGAAGAATTTCGTACATGTTTTGATCTGTCAAATGTTGTGAAGTTGTCGAAAGATAATATAACATTTATGTATATGAAGTGAGACATTTTTCAGACATAGGTTTGAATGGACGTGAGGTAGACTAAACTGGCATATAACAGTAATAGCAAACACACACAAAATTCTTAACCCATTCAATGCCTTTAGCACCCATGGGTAGAGTTGCCACCTTTTTTTAAACAAATATAGTATTTTTCCAAAAAGGATGGAAAAATATAGTACGTTTGAGAAATTCCGAAGGAAAAAAAGTACCGTCAATACAAATATCAATGTATTTTTCCATATATATAAGGTATTGCTCTTTGCTTTGGCCATCAATATTCTAAGCACCTTACCTTGCTACACTGCATCTTGCTTGCTGCCTTACTTTTAAAAAAATTATGGGGGTCTGAGCAATTTTAATTTATTTTAATATGATTCCATATTATTAATATAAATAAATTAAAAAATTAATTTTTAATAAAATTATTAATTTATTTTAAAATTTTCTCTTTTTCTTTCTTCTTTTAACCCTTATGTGAGCGACGAGGTACCCGGGTGTCTTTGGCATTTTCAAATTCTAAAAAAGTATGTTTTACGCCCTATATGTATGTATAATAGCTGTGACTTTCTGAGAGCTCTTAACTATTTATAAATTACATATTTTTTAATGTTTTGACCAAGTCTACTATTTACAATGTTTTGTAGAAACCAAAACATATTTTGAACTCACAATCGAGTAACGAGGTACCCAGGTACCTCTTTGTGTTTTGTGTGACTATGAGGAAAAAATTTTAAATTTCGTACAAAAATTAAATAATAAACATTTGTCGAAGTATTTTATTTCTATAAAAATTACAACTTCTTTGTTCATACAATATTAATTACAGCTCTCGAAGCAGATGTTACATGTTGGACGAGTTACTGCATGTTCATCACAAACTGGTTTTCTGCAGTTAGTGCAAGCTTTTCGAGTTTTTCTTTGCTGGCGTTTGAGTTCTCTGCATAGGTAACAACTTCCGACGACTGCAAGACGCCCTGTAGAATCTCGTCTAGTTTGACTTACAGAAGTTGCAGATCCAAAAGAAATTGACGGCCTAAGTTCTCTGCCAAGCACATCCTGCATGGCAGATCTCACATGTAATTTTGATGTCACAATGCAATTTTTTGATCTCTCTTCTATATTTTTTCAAAGATTTCAAAAACTTTCTACATCTGTCACTCGAGAACAATTGTGGGTTATGTTCCATGTAAATAATATATGCTGCCAAAGCTGCAATGTCAATGATATTGTAAAAAAGTGCTAAAGGCCACTGATTTGTTCTGCATTTTACGGTATATTCTGCTAACAGCTTATCCACGTTGTCCACTCCACTTTTGGTTTTATTATAATATAAAATTATTTCTGGCTTGGCAGTTTCCTTATTACTTTCAATAATTGGTGACATGTGCATTGATGACAACATTATTACTGCTTTATTCTTTTTAGGTACGTAAGAGCACACAGTTGCTTCTTTGCTAAATGCAAAATTAGAAGAATAAACAGCCCTCTCCATGTGTGCTTGCATATTTGGAGGAAGAAAATTTATATTTTATTCGTGTATTTTTTCTTACCGTTCCAACTAGTGTCATATTCCACGAATTCAAGGAATGAGCTAGTTGAAGCGACATAAAAAAATTATCCGTAGTTACATTCAGCCCTGAATTTTTATATTTAGCCACGAGATCGAATATAGTGCATTCTCCTACATTTGTTTGACAACTTTCCTGTATATATTTGTCCATTTAGGGGGTAGGAATATTTTTATGCCGTACTTTTCAGGTTTTGATGGCATACATTGAGTAAAGCAAGTCCGCCCACGATATCCATATAGCTGTTCGTCGACGTAATACATTCACGAGGCTTGTAGTTTTTGTTCAAATTTGAAATGAACATAGTCCAAATATCTCGTATAGCAGCGGCTTTATCAGCTAATAAACATTCAGGGTGCGTTACATCATTATCAAACCTTATGAAGCGTAGCAGCATTTTGATTGTGACATCATGATCATGGGACATCGCAGCCCGAAATAATGGTAGTTGACTGGATTTCCACAGTTCAGTCACATGCTCTTTATTAGATCTATGCACCTCACTAAAAATTAGAATACCAAAAAATGCATCCAATTCTTGTAATGGTTTGAATATTTTTTGTTCCGATCGCTTGCTAATATCATGGTAATTTTCCATCAGTTTATTATTATATGCTTCAGTAATCTTTGTCCCTTTCCGATTAGTTTCCCTCAAGATTATGTCACACATTTCATTGGTCAATATATTTTTGAATATTTCCATTTGATTGTAAAGTTTGCTGAACGATGCAGCCCCGCCCGTTGACTGATAATATTTCTGCTACTAGTTTGTGTTCTGGGAAGTGGTTCAGACTGCCACCGCATTCCATCTTTTACGATAAGAATATTTTCAAGCGATTCCCCTCCAAAACTCGCATCGGAATCATAAGAATCAATCTCATTTTCGACTTCAGCTTCTGGCTCAACATCCGAAATTTCAAATCTACCCTCTTCAACTAAAGGAATATAATCATGTTCATTATCAGAAGCAACAAACTCACCTTCGTCACTAGAAGATTCTGCTAATATCTCTAGTAACTCTGTTGAATTATATCTTCGAACACCTGATCTTTGTTGAGAAGTACTCGCTCCAATATTCATAATGAAATATTATAAACTCACAAAATACAAATATGCTCCTACAATAGAAACAAACGTATACAGTCAAATGTCAAGCACGATGCACTGAATGGATTCAGTGTTACTTGCGCGCCGATAACCATGTACCGCACTCAACCTCTCCTCCGCTTTTACCGCCACAGGTTGTCAACTGTTTAGCTTAGCTAAAGTAATAATATTTAAAGTATGTGTAACACAAAAGTAGATCTTGATTGTTTACATTACGTATACACTGTATGAAGGTACCGGAATACCTCGTCACTCTGTTAAAGGTGTTTTATTTGTCACTCACATAAGGGTTAATTTTACATTCATGACAATAAAAATTACTTCTGTAAAACTTATACTTGTTCCAGACTTCCAATCACAGTTAATATAAAAAAGCAACAGTTGAATTTTGGATAAAAATATAGTATTTTTCATACTCTTTATTTTTCTATAATATATAGTATACAATTGACTGAAATATAGTACGATACTATATATTATAGTACAGGTGACACAACCTTACCCATGAGTGGCTTGATAATCCATTTACATGCCGAGGACCGGCGTCTCACTTTTAAAGCTAATTTTCTCTGTCAAACAACAATAAAAAGACCTAATATGTTTGTTAATGCTACATTTTACAATAAACTAGCTAGCTATACATTGAATGGCCTGTGGGATATCTGCAATTTAAAAAAAATGCTGATTTTAAGCCGCCCATCGGCGCCTTTAATAAATAATCAGAGTTTATTAACCTTTTCATGTTGAGAATGAAAATCACTATTTGAAAGTGGTCTTTTGTAGCATATAGTTGGCAGTGGTACAATCACGTGAATCGAAATTTGTAATTTGAACATTTTCTTCGTTTGGATTGTTACCAATCAAGATTTATCATTAGAGTCTTGACCACGAGTAAGCGGAAAAAAATATTTTGAGACTACATATTCTTTGAAGTAGTTATAGCATCGCACACGCCTAATAGATGGATCAATGGATAGGTACCGCTTCGGGCTGGACTATTGCGCTAACTGGATGGGCCATAAAAGACAAAGTTTAAACAAAAGAAGTCGATAAGTGATTTCTCACTCAATGTTTTAGTAATTTGTTGACCATGAGCCAAAGCGAAAAATCAGAAGAGAGATAACTGTTAAGTTTTTCCAGAATCTAAGCTAGGTCTGAAAATAAATATGTATATGAAGTTCACTAATTAAATTGAAAAGGGACCTTTGTACCGGATTGTAATAAAAGGTTGATGTAATGAGAGGTTGACTTTAAAAAAAAAGCCATAATAGTATTTGTTTTCTGGTATACACGTCAATTTCTACTACATCATGTCGAAGTCGTCGATGAGAGGCTTAGAATGCTTTAGCGAGATGCCTTAGACGCCGTTGGGCGGCCGCCTTCAAATGTTTGACTGCATGGGGATAATGTGTTTCTATTCACAGGAGGCAATAAATAGGCTAACTTCAAAAACTATTTACCTGTGTGGGAATGTTGTTTAAAACTAGTTTAAAATACCTTCATATAAACATGTTGCTCTGTTCAATTAAAATTTAACTCATACAGCAAGGGTTTCAAGTGAGTTGCCTTAGTTGTTTTATGCAAGTGCAAATACATATAAAAATAAATTGTTAAACAGTATATTGCTATGTATTTTTTAAATATCTTATCAGTTATTATTTTCTCCCATTTAAAAACAATTATTTAGGAAATGTAGCAGAGAAATTATAATAATACCCTAGGTCTATAACCACCATAGTAATATTTTAAAATATTTAGGCATATTTGGCGTAACATGAATAATCGAGAGTGAAGGATACATGTGAAATTGTAACTTATTTTTATTTCGTTATAAATTAATATACAGAAATGTTGAAAACCACTAGAACTGTTGGAACTTGTATAAAAAAATGTAACATTTTTACTGTCTGTTATTACTTGTGTCCCACTAAAATATATAAAGTTGATCACAAACTGCCTTTCTATTGTATTTTATATGATGACCAAGAACACTGATGTTGGTGTTGTAATGTGAAATCTATATATTATATCATAGAAACAAATTAATTTAAAGTAACTTTATTACTACTTACATTTTAAAAAAGGAAAATATTTCCAAAATAAATTTGAGCTAGATCACAAGGTTCTTATTATAAGCTACCTGTTTGCCATTTTGTTTTGAATATTGTTAGACATATTAATAGATCTCATATCACAGAATTTACAGGCAGATTGATGTATTTTGAATAACAGTTCACTAAATAAACCACCAAAGTGACATAACTTAGTGATTTCATTTACCATAAGTTATTTTTAGTAAGCTATTTATTTTTAGGAAAATTCTCTCTCTTAAGTAGTTTATTTAAGATTTTTATTCACTTTAGTTTAGACATTCCGTAGAGGGAATCATCCAAACAGTTTAGTATTGAGTTTTAGTTATAAGTAGAAATAAAAAAAAAATTTTTTTGGATTATCTAATACGAAATTTTGGAAATATAAAAACGAAACGAATAATAAATAATTAATTTAGTTTACAGAAGGAGAAAATGATGTGGTTTAATCTGAATTTATTTTACACAGTACTTTGTGTCAACTTAAAATTGTTAAAAGATATTTAAAAAGTATTCCAACGTCGTCATGATCAGTTGTATTACCTGAACTGATTTGATTTACCAGAACATATTACTTTACACATACTGATGTAGAAGAGAAACAAGTTATAATATATATACAACTTTAATGTAAAACAACTAAGATTTTGTTAAGGTGAAGGAGAGAGCAGAAGACACTACACCATAAAAAGTAAAACAAAAAGGTTTCTTTAAGGTTTGTTTTATTTTATATTACCATCCTTTTGTATATTCAACTTCAAAAAAAAAAATGAGGTTCTCAATTGGACTATATTTTTTTAATGTGTGTTACCTCAGAATTTTTATCTAGGTGAACTGATTTTGATGCTATTTTTATTTGAAAGCTGGCGCTTCTCATGTGGTCCCATACAAATTAGATCAAGATCTGACCAGTAGTAGCTTTTGAGTTATCTTTAATTGTGTGTTTTTAATGGAGTGTGACTACAATGATGTTCTCATTTTATTTATATTTGGTTGTACAAAATTTTTAGTTTTACCACTTGTTAATAACCAAGTTACAAAAACGAGGAGGTCTTATATTCGACGCGAATATTTTTTATGTATGTTCACCAATTTATTATTATCAAGGTAATAGGTAGTGTTGTTTAGTTCAGCCAAATACATGTGCCCCTCACATTTCTAATCTGACTTTGTTATATTAGTAGCTGGTATATAACCAACAGCTTCATGACTGATACATTCTATAGTAAGGTCATGTAAACATATACTCAATTGACTAAAATGCAATCTTGTTATCATATTATATAAAACTAAATTGCTGGTTTTGCGGTTAACTCTTCTCACGCATATTACGTCTCTTTCTCATTCTATCTCCTAGCAAAGGTAGTAATTCATCGAATAATCGTATCAGGATGCTGTCTGTCGTAATTTTCTCGCTGTAATATGGAACTGACTTTCCCTTACTCTGTTTACATAAGAATGAAGCAAGTGTACTGTAACAACAAAGATTAAACATCCAAAACAAAAAAATATGTCTAGGCTCCTTCATAGACATAGAAGGTGCTATTGACAGAACAAATTTCTCCAGTATAAAAGGTGCACTAATTAGACATAAAGTTGAACCGGCACTAATTGACTGGATAGTAAATATGCTCGTTTTTTTTTTCGCGTTTCGGAGGAAGTGAGAGATACAAGTGTCGTGCCTTTTTTGCTTAAAATTTATTGTTTTATTAAGTGTTGTTGATTTACTATAGTAAATTTTTCTGTCTTGGTGGAGGTTTTAATATCTGTAAATTAGTAAGTGTTTGTAGTTGTGCCGTTTTTATGTAATTGTTTGTTGTAGTAATATAATGGAGGACGAACCTCCCGATCCCGGAAGGGTTCGCAATGATTCCTTTTCCTTACCCATTAACATTGATAATGTAGAACTAATTAACCGTAAACGTGCCCAAGTAAGTAACGAGTCTGTCCATCCACAAAAATTAGTTATTACTGATCCAAATCAACATTTTCCTTCAATACAATCTTCATATACCCATCCTGATTTTATTAATAAAAAAGTTAAGTACTCTCAAGATGATGCCGCTCCTTTTCTAGTTCACGTAAGTAAAATCTCAAATGATCAGCTGTCTGGAGTAACTCTTAAACCAATTAAATTCGGTCACTTTCTGTATCATAACAATATTAAAAATATAGTCCATGATGGAGTCAAAAAAGTTGGACGAAATAGAATATCCGTGGAGTTTACATCAGCTGCAGATGCAAACAACTTTATCGATCACCCGGCTCTCCAAATTTCTAAATATGAAGCAACCATCCCCTCATATAGTATCACTCGTATGGGGCTAGTTAGACAAGTTCCCATAGAGTGGACACTAGAAGAATTAATAGCAGCTATAGAAATTCCCTCTGGATACGGTTCTATAATTAAAGCACGGCGACTTAATAGACGTGACTAGTGAGTGACAGCAATAGCGTTTCATGGGTTCCAACTCAGACGGTTGTTCTAACTTTTTCTGGACAAAAACTTCCTCCCCATATTTACTGTTTTCACACCTCAATGCCAGTGGAAAAATATGTTTTGCCACTAATTCAGTGTCATAAATGTTGTAGATTTGGCCATGTTACTTCCCAGTGCCGATCATCCCCTCGCTGCTTTGTATGTGCACAGAATCATGAAGGTTTATCTTGTACTCGACAAACTCCTACTTGCCTATTCTGCTCTGGTCCCCACACCGCAAAAGACCCTACATGTTCTGAACATCTAAGGCAAAATTCTATTAAACTGGTTATGTCACAAGAAAATATTTCATATTTAGAAGCTTCAGCTAGATTCCCTCAGACAAAAAGATCCTTTGCTGATACAACAAGAATACAGCCTCGTAATTGTTCTCAACAGACCCC